CTGAATATGCCGCAATTTGTGCAGTGTTTTCCCATATAGATTGGACTCTGTGCTGCTGTTGTCACCAAGTGATAGCCCCCATTCCTTGCAAGGAAAACGTCTTCCCATATAGATTCGACCCTGTCACTGAATAAACAGACATGGGTTGATGTTGACGGTCGACACTGAATATACCGCAATTTGTACAGTGTTATCCCATATAGATTCGACCCTGTGCTGTTGTTGTCACCAAGTGATAGCCCCCATTCCTTACAAGGAAAACGTCTTGCATCCACCATCTGTCTCTCACCTCAACAACAGTTTAAGCATCTTCTTTTAATTGCTTAGTCTTACAATATTACTCACTGTTTATACTATAAACCATTCCTATTTTCTTGAAATCTTAAATTAAATGATAATGAATATTAGTTAAATGATAATGAACATTAATCTCAAACAATTAAATTTTAAATTTCGCTTTTTAAAATTACTTCTAAAAGTACCTTTTAATCGCTTTTCAAAATCACTTCCCAAAAGTAATAGTAAAATACACTTTTTTTAAAATATCTTTAAAATTATAAAAGTAAATAAATTTGTAACATTTTTTACTATATAAAGTGATAGTTCAAATATTTTGACTCAGAAATTTAACATCACATCCTACTAAATCAATTAAAATCTTAAGTTTTTTATTACTATAAATTATTTTTTTTTAAATTACTCATTGAACTTGAATACATTCTTGTATAAATAATCGCATAAAAATAATCAATTGAAAAATGATGTGTGTTCTATTTTGAGGTCATACCGAATCAAACAACTTGACAGACCTTAAATTTTAAAAAAAGAACAAGCTCAATCTACCATCGAGTACACAAAAGCTCAAAATATGTCATTTTTTGTAATAGCCTCAGATAATTATAAGGTATTATCTGTTCAAAATCTTTCTTAATCATTAATAACATACACCTTGCAGATACAACTACTTGAATTTGGGAACCTCTAGGGAGAACAACACTTACTTTTACCATTAAAACCACTCAATGAATTCAACATTAATCGAAACTTAAATCTAAAATCTCAAATTAAGCCCAAAAAATATACCCTAACCTAACACTAGAACATGTCTTTCCTGATTTGAACTCAAAATTGGTTTTCATTCTTTATTGTCTGACAAAGTGTCCTCTCCCACAAAATCTCTATCAAACCTTATTCTAATTCTAACTTCCTCAACCCTATCCCCAAATCATAATAAACCAATCTCCAACAAAATCAAACACCCACCTATATCAAGATTTTTAGCCTCCTACCTATACCAAGATTAAGAGTTTCGGGCTAACCCAATATGGGCTTTAAATAAATCCCTTAGCTTATAGTAAGCCTTAACCCAAATTGAAGTGGAATTGGGCTTGGTTTGAGCCCAATAATGGATGAAAATGACATTTTTAGATTGTGGCTAAAATTAGAAGACCAATGAGATAATTATACCATTTTAAATTTCAAAAGCTGAAATCCCTTAATGGCTTGATAACACGTCTGTCTCATCTTTTTCTCTGCATTCACTTTGTCTTTTTCTTCCTTCTTCCCTTTCATTTTTATCTCAACTTAGGAAGAACAAATGTGATAACTTGGTAGCCTTGCAACCTTAGTTTGGATTTGTTAAGGTAAGATTCATAACCTACATCTCCAGAGCTTCAAATCAAATCATCTATCTCTTCATTTCACCATGGTAACCAAATATGAGTTTTGAAAGGGTTTAAGAAACTTGGAGATTTTAATTTGTTTTAGAGATTTTTAGCCCTAGGAATTATTCTTAATCCCTTATTAACCCCTAAACCCAGTTAGTAACTCTTATGCTTAATTCTTGTTTAGTGAGAGAAGTTGGAGAAAGCTCTGAGAGCAAGAACAAGGAGAAACTTGTGCTAAGATGACTTTGAGGTGCTTCCAGCAACTTAGAAATCCAAGGTTACACATTTTTAACTCAACTATACCACATGAAGGTCATTAGATAAGTTTTCATAAGTTGCATGAGTTATGAAGCATGTTCATGGTAGCTTGCATCTTTTGATGTTTCAGCAAGTTAAAAAGCCCTTTTATGACCCCTTTAATAATTCATAAGACTTAAATAACAATTGGGAACCTCAATAGTGCATTTGGGGTATAAAGTTAGCATTTTTCGTGCCCAAAACAGAATATTTATAGGCACGAGTATCAGTACTAAAAGAACAATATCGATATTGTTCTTACGAAATAAGAGAGTTTTGTGTGAGTAGTATCAATACTCATTCAGGGATATCGATACTGGGGTTTTAGTTTCGAGACTCACAGGATTGGTATCGAGACCAATATTCCATGTGCATTTTTGGTATCAGTACTCATGCAGGGTATCGATACCAAGGGTAGAGTATCAATACTCCCTGTAGGGGTATCGATACTGAGACATTTTTTAAAACATAGAACCTGATTTCGGTATCGATACTCAGGATAATATAGATACCCTAGTAGTAGAGTATAAATACTCAGCCATGAGTATCGATACTGCCCTCCCCTATCAGCATATAATAATAAGTAGGTATCGATACCAAAAGGTAGGTATTGATACTCAGGGTTCAATATCGATACTGAAAGGTCAGTATCGATACCAGCTGACATTTTTGGATAAATAACCTGATGATTAAGAGATTAGACTTAAGGGGCCCAATAACACTAGAATATCAGTATGTGAAACTACAAGTGAGAATAGTAATTAATTAATAACAACTAGAAACAATAACAACTATGATTACATAAAACTAGCCTTTCTTGACACTTGAAAAACAGCCAGGACACCCGAGTCTCTTTAGCAGAATACAACAATCAGTTGGGTATCCCAGTTAGTGCCAATGCACTTCAGTAGTCGACTGGGTGAAGATGTCCCAAAACTCGATGGAGTAAGTTATCGGGGGTATATGTTTCTAATGCAGTTTCAAATCTCACCCCATATACCCGAGGGTATCTAAGAAAGGCTAGGGGTGTAAGCTCCGAGATGCAGAACCCTCAGTCTCACCTTGATGCCTATTTCAGCAGTACATGTCATCTAGCGAATGCATGTTGTATAGTACAATTATTAGTGTGACACTAAGCTCGTAAGCTCATCGTTCGGAATTTGTTTTTGTGTGCAAGTTCTTAGGTGATTAGTAGCGGAGTTTTATCATCGTAAACCGTTTCAGTGCAACCGAGGCATCAAAGTATATCTTGAATTTTTTTAGAGGGCATGTACTATTGTAGACTCGTTTATATTTGTAACTCTATTTTGTTTTAAATTCAATATTATATTATTTTGAATGTTTTGGGAGTTCCCTGTATTGTAAACTTATTTATTATATTTTATTTTACTTCACCATGGATGAACTTTTATAAGATATTTTACCATCAATTTTTAAAGAAAAGTTTTGGCTGAGCCACTTCGGTTGTCCCGTGTGACATTCTAATCTATCGGTCTTTGGGTCATACTGAATTAGGGTGTTACAATCATTATGTGTCAATCACAACATTACTCATAGTGACAATTACATGTATGATATTGTGAGTTGCATGTTTTGATACAGTCAAACGTGTTCCATAACTGGTTGCACTATAAAAATTGATGTTAGACATGTCACGATATATGTAGTAGATATGATTGATCATATAAGATTTATAGTATCTATTTCTAGGTTAAGTAGAGGTACTCTAATATTCTCTACACATAACTAACCCACAAACCTAACTTCAATCCTAATATTAGATTCAAATTAGACTTATAAGTATTTAATTATTCTTCATCTAAAACAATTGATGAAGACTCCACCCGCATGACAAAAGTTCTACGGCACCAACATTTTCTAACCACCACAAATGGTATTGACATATTTCATGCTTATAACTTCTATAAATTTAACTAGGTTTGATTACAAATTAATCATAATACAATGTAAATTTTAACCTAAATTGCCACAATGGTTAATGTTTGGATTTTTTTGAAATTAATGTTTGATTATTTGAAAAAGTCTCTAAGTTTTATTTTCTTGAAAAAAAAATAAAAAAAAGTCTTCAAGTTTGATTTTCAGGTCATTCGTACGTGGACTATCAGGTCCATAATTGAATCCTAATTATTTGATTTTAAATTCAAAACAAAAGCTTCTAGTGATTTTGAAGTTGTAATTATATTATTAAAATATTACAAATTTACAAAAATATTACAATTTTTTTATTAAAATACATGCATGCATGCAAAAAGAAAAGAAGTAATTTTTGAGATTTTTTAGGGTAAATTAAAGTGGAGACCATTTAGTTACGAAAAGATTCTATTATGATCATTGATATTTTAATTTTATCAACAAGATTGTTTAATCATTTAAATGATGTCAATAAAACCACCTACTATTAATATTTGACGGAAAAACGGACATGATAGTCGATAAAATTAATATAATTATATATTTAATTATTATTATTATTATACATTTTATTAATTTATCCTAATTCTAATTTAAATCAATAAATTTAATCCTCGTGATCGAGTAAAAGTACATAGGTTATCATTTGTTCCATTTTTTAATTTTAATTTATTTAATTCAATAATTATTTTCAATCAAATGATACCGCATATAATTTATATTTTTTATAACCACGCACAACATTGAAATTGACGTTACTAAATCAAGAAAATATCCGTTTTCTGGAAACCATAAAAAAATGAAAAAGGAAATTATTCTTAATAAATGGACAATTAATCTTTAAATTAAAAGCAATTACGTCATTTAAATTTTATAATAACGTAATAAAAGTGACGACATTTACCGATTTACGTGTCAATTTTGGCTTCAGCATATACCAATCGTAAGCCTCTTTCACCCGCTTTAATGAAGTGTCGGGTTTTCCACTGTTCCCATTTCCGCATCAAATCACCTGTTCCCGATTTCTATATATATATATATATATATATATATATATATATATATATATATATATATATATATATCATAAACCAGCACAGCACACCTTAATTAAATCATCTTCTTCAATGGAAGAACTTCAAATGCAATTCATGGCTCAAACCTCAGGTCTCGACAACAAGGGAATGAGAAAGAAGGGGGCTTGTCTTTCTTCTGCTAAGGTTGAGAGGAAGATCATCGAGAAAAACAGGCGAAGCCACATGAAGAATTTGTACTCCGAGCTCTTTTCTCTTCTCCCCCGTCGTGATTCCAAGGTTTTTTTTTATTTATGGGTTTGAACTTTGAAATTTGTTCTGAATTTTGATCTGAATGTGGGTTTTGTTTTGCAGGAGGTGTTGTCGATTCCTGATCAAATAGATGAAGCTGTGAACCACATAAAGAGCTTGGAGACGAGGTTGAATGAGTACAAGGAGAAAAAGAAAGACCTAATGGGAAGAAAGAGATCTTATACAAGTAGTACTGCAACTGAAAGCAGTATGAGCTTGAAATCTCCCGAGCTCAAGATTAACGAACATGGCTCCGCCATGGAGGTTGTTTTGACGACCGGGACAGACAGCCAGTTCATGTTTTATGACATAATTTGCATACTAAATCAACATGGAGCTGATGTACTAAATGCCAGCTTCTCCGCCGTTGGGAATACAGTTCTCCATGTTGTTCATGCTGAAGTAAATTAATCAGCCACTAGCTCTCTCCTATCTCATATTTCTATATCATATGCGTCTCTTCATCTAATTGATTTGTTTTGGTGACAGATTGGAGCATTTGTTTCAGCAGAAGTAATAAAGAATAAGCTGAACAAATTAATGCATGGACCCGGCTACGAAGACGATCAGCTGCAACAAGAGTTATGGAGCTTCGAAATCCATCCCGAAATGTGGGATTTCAACTAAATCTATCCTGAAACTTGGGATTTCCCGATCATGTGATAATCGTAATTAACAAAAGGGATGTTGCAGTGACTTAGACAGCAAGGAAGAGTAGACTTCATGTATCAAAATTTTTAATAATATAGATCATGAATCCCTACAATGGATTCCATGATATCGTCTTCTGTTTTCTCGGTCAGTTGATATAGTATTGATTAATGAAACCTTTCCAATAAGTTCATATGTTTATGAAAAATATATATATAATTTTGGTAATGGAAAACTAGATTTTGATTGATTTCTCTACTATGATCGAAGACTAAGTACTGTAATTGCAGAAGGTTTCAGCATATAAGTGGATACATGGAACTAACTCTAGCTGCTTTTGTTTCTTCATCTGTTTTTATTCCTTTGTTTCTATTGCTTTCTTTTATTCTCTTTTTCATTTTTCATCCGAGCTTAAATCCTTCCGGTTGTAGTTCATCATCGATGCTCATCATGTTTATAGCTTATGGACGTCATAGTATCATTCGTCGACGGTCATGAAGCCATTGTTCTTCCACTGCCGTCATTCAGATCTAGTTGTTAGTTCGTTTGTAAGTTTTTTTTTATAATAGTCTGCTGTCTGTTAATAATTTTTCAAGTAATTGACAACACGCACATAACTGCATAAACAATTGCTCGAACCTAAGCTCAAACTCATGATTTTAAGAGAGAACACTCTCTTTAATTATTGAGACCATTCAATGATCGTTAGAGTTGTTAACATATCATCAAAACAATAATAAAAGTGCGAAGATTACGCGACGGGCTCTGAATAGTTAAGCTCGTAGTTATAAGTTGGCTTTGGAGTTCAAATATTAACTTATTTGTTCAAAGTGTATATATTTCATAGTGATTATAAAACAGTAATTATTCAAATATTTTCTTACTCTATTAATAATACGCGTACAACCTACAATTATAGCTGCTCAAATCCGAGACATTTAAGAAAAATAATCTTCTCATTTACTACCGAGATCACTCAATAGATTACATAGATTTAAACAAATATTTGCATCTTGCATCTGACATCCTTCTATTGATAATGACATTCAGTGTGACAAATGTTGAGCCATCTAGCTGGTGGTCGGAGTCTGTCAAACGACGGTAGTTAAACTTGAAAGAAGAATCAATAACTATAGTTTGTGAAGAGTAGGCGTGAGCATTAGATTGAGTATAGTAAAAAAATTTCGAGTTATTTGAGTTGATGAGTCTTACTTTATAATTGAAACTTGATTTAAAATTTTTTTAGTCGAGTTGTTCAAATTTCTATTAAAATTTAATTGTAAATATTTATAATATTATGATACTATTTGATTCCAATTTAAATAGTTGTCTATAACCATATACAATATATATATATATATTTCTTAATTTTGTATATATATATTTATTTATCATACAGAGCCGAGGGACTATACTCAAATTTAAAAATAAATTCACCACTTAAATTTTGAGTTATTCAAATTATTATTCAAGTTATATTTTATAATTTGATTTGAATATGAAAATTTTTAAGTCGAAACAATATGTTTTTCGAGTCGAATTTTATTTACCCTAATAAAGAGAACAAAAAAGAAACAAATAAAATTTTTACTAAGACTGAGAGAAAGGATTACAAAAACTTTTCACCACCATTTAAGAAGGCACCTATCATAGTTTGTGAATCTATAACAGTTATCTGTGAACACTCAAAGGTCCAAGAGGCTGAGGTCCTTGACATGCTTGGACATGCACTCCAAGGTCCTAATCTCATAATCCTTATTGAAGAACACTTCCACGCCTTCACCATAAACCCGAACCAACACTTTCTTACGAAGATCACGGGTGTATTGTCGGCCATTTTATCTGATAATCATTGTTAGTCATTGCTCCTTTCAATGGAACCACACGAAATTCTTTCATATCTTTTATCACATCTCTCCCCCATTCGGATGCCACCAATTTCAAAACTAAATTCAGTTCTTCTCGTGTAGAGGTTGAGATGCACACCCTTTTTTCTTTGTGGCCATTTGTTTGTATATCAACTGACATATCTCAAGATTGATTAGTCTTGACCAACTTTCCAAGAATCTTTCCATCAATCTTAAAATCTGTAAATTGATACACAAACAAATGGCCACAAAGAAAAATGGGTTTTTCCCAAGCTCTGCACCAAAAGAGTTTTGAAAGCAATGACATCCGAAACGAGAGATGCACCAAAAGAGTTTTGAAAGCAATGACATCCGAAACGAGAGACGTGATGAAGGGCATGTAAGATTTTCATGTTTCAATATATTGAAACTTACAAAGAAAAGGTTCAAGAACAGGGAAAAGAAGAGAACAGATCTTAACAGAAGATATAATGTAGCAAAAGTTAAATGAACAGTAGAATGAAAAGTCAAACAAGAGATCAGATTCAATGACCCTTTCATTAAAGTCACGTTCTCTTAAGCACTCCTTTCCAAGTTCATCTGTACACAACGACTCAGAGATATTAGAGAAACAAAGAAAAATAAGAAAATAAGAGATGAGGAATGTAGGCCTTATGTCCCTCAATTTTGAGGTACTTTATATAGCCCTACTTTGGACCAGAGAATCAACACAGTATATATTTCATTTGTGCTGTAATCTTGTTTTTGAGGGGCAAAATTAATTAATTTTTCTAGCACTTCTTCTGATCATACTTCAAAAAAATGTCATTGTGAATTTTTGTGATGTATCATAATTATGTAACGGTCTGAACTTTTGAGACAACTTAAGGTGTTGACTCAAGATGGACTTGGGCCGAGTTAGAATCATAATTGGACCCTTGAGGCACGTTTGACAAATTCGGGTGAGAATTGGACCTTGGGCATTGAGAGAAGGGAGAAATTTACATGGAATTCAAATGTTGACGGACCAAAAGGATAATTTACCCATTGAGGAAAATCAAGATGATTTGCCTCTTGACGTGGATGATGGCCATGGTGGGATATATGTGGAAGGACAAAGGCTTTTCCCACCCTCTCTTTTCTCTCTATGTTACCTTTGTCACATTCTCCCTCTTCTTTGAACCAAATACTCATCTAGCACGGTGGTCGGAGGCTGTCAAACGACGACAATTAAAGATGAAAGAGGAATCAACATTGCTCTTTGGTAGGAATTTGAGAACTAAAAAAATAACCAAATAAATATCAACATAAAGGATATGAGGTTTAACGTGTTCGACATTGTCTATTTCTATAAGCGAGATAAACAACAATCCACTATAAATGTAGAGAACACGAATAATACAAATACATGATATCACATGTATCCCAAAACTCATTATACAAACCAATACACTCTTTCAACCTCCCTACAAAACTATCTCATAAACATAAACCCCAAAAGTTATAGAAATCTAAAAAAAGCTTGCGTCTCTCCAAAATAATTCTCTCTCCTATTACCCTAAAGGTTAAGATATAATCTCTATTTATAAAACTAAATACTTAGTCACCAAGAATTCTTTTTCCATAAGAATTTTTACCTTAATAAATATTTACTTTATTAAATAAAATTATAATAAAATCCAACTTAATCATCAATTATCGATACCAAATGATTTTATTCAAGAATTGATGCTTAAAGTGGTATCGATACTCGAGATGAGTATCGATACCCATGAGGGTGGTATCGATACCAGTGTGATGATATTAATATCTAAATTTTATGATATTGATATGTTGGGAAACAAGGTTATTTCCCACACGAACGTAGTTTCAAAATTGACCTAAAATGTCAAGATCAAAACCACCAAAGGTTGCACAACGGATAAACCTGTCAAACTATTGAATATTGTAACACAATGGAAAAATCGAATAAAAAACAATAAAGGAGATAACACGCCAAATTTATGAGGTTCGACGAGAATATCGTCTACTCCTCGGGCACCACACCAGATGATAACTTCACTATCAACAAATATTACAACAAATGGAATTCTTTAGAATTCCCAAAGTGAGAGAATGAAGAAAACAAGAGGAAGAGAGAACTTGTTTTGGGATGATTTCTAATGAAATACTTAGGCCTATTTATAGTTGAGTTCTAAGGACTAAACTTATAAATAACCTAATATTTTAAGGACCAAACATGAAAAATAAGTTGGCCACCTACCAAAGAATTTTCCAATGAGTTGGCCACCAACCAAAATGAAATTTCTAATCTTGCCAAACTTAATTTCAAGTCAAACATAACAAATCTCCACATTGGCTTGAAATTACCAAGCCTACTCAACTTCTTCAACTCCCCAAATTTGTAATGCCTCTAATTGCGCTTACAAGCGCTACATACCCGAAGGTGTTCAAACTTTTAGGATGTTAATCAAGTTCAAACAATGATTGAACTTGATTATTGTTACCACATTGGTCATCATATCTGCAAGATTTTCTGATGTCGCAATTTTCTGAAGTGGAATCTTTCATTCTTCAAAGATCTCCTGCACAAAGTGATACCTCACGTCGATATTCTTAGTCCTTGAATGGTAGACTTGATTTTTCGCTAAGTGAATAGCGCTATGATTGTCACAATAGAGATTAATGTGACTTTGAACAACTCCCAAGTCTTCTATCAACCCGTTAAGCCAAATTGTTTCTTTCACATCCTCTGAAACTACCATGTATTCTGCTTCTGTAGTAAACAAAGCCACCATAGATTGCAAAGTAGACTTCCAACTTACTGGGGTTTTAACAAGAGTAAACAAATACCCAGTAGTTGATCGATGCTTATCCAAATCACCAGCATAGTCGAAATTAACATATCCAACCACACACTGACCAAGCGCTTCATCCTGTTCAAAAACTAAACCAACAACCACGGTTTGTTGGAGATACCGTAGAATCCATTTCACAGCTTGCCAATGTCCTTCTCCAGGATCATGCATGCACCAGCTCACAACTCCAACTGCTTGTGAAATGTCAGGACGCGTACACACCATTGCATACATCAAGCTCCCAAGTGCATTAGCATATGGAGCTTTTGCCATATACTCTCTTTCTTCGTTAGTTTCAGGAGATAATTGAGAACTAAGTTTCAAATGAGAAGCCAGTGGGATACTTACATGTTTGGTATTTTC